TAGTTGTTTGCTAGACTGATGGTGTAGTTGTGCATAGCGCCTGAGGGCGTAGGTTGTTGCTAGACTGATGGGCTAGTTGTTGCTAGACTGATGGTGTAGTTGTTTGCTAGGCTGAGGGTATTAGTTTTGGTTTGCATAGGGTGAGGGTGTAGTTGTTTTGCGTGGCTGGAGGCGTATTAGTTTTTGCTTAGGGTGAGGGTGTTTTTAGCTTGTTTGTAGGACTGAGCTGGTGTTAGTATGTTTGCTAGGCGAGGTATAGGTTGTATTGCTAGGCGGTGGGAGGGCGAGTTGTTTGCTAGGCTGCAGGTGTAGTTGTTGCTAGATGATGGTGTAGTTTCTGCTAGGCTGAGGGGTTCAGTGTGTATTTGCTAGGCTGATGGTGTATTGTTTGCTTAGCTGAGGGCGTAGTTGTTCTGCTAGGCTGAGGGTGTAGTTGTTTGTCTATGGGTGAGGTGTAGTTGTTTGCTAGGCCCTGAGGGGGTAGTCCTTAATTTATATGACTGTTTTTCTAGTTGTTTGCTAGGCTGAGGTGTAGTGTTGCTAGGGTGAAGGGGGTAGTTGTTGCTAGGCTGTAGGGGGTAGTGTTTCCTAGCGCGAGGCCGTGGATCTGTAACGCCGACGTTAGCCTGCATGGATCTGTGTTCAGGGGATATGGTATGTCGTGTTGTGACAACGCTAATCCAGCCTTCGCCGCTCGCCCCTATTGTTGAGTAACGCCCTGTGTTGTGGAGGTGGGGCGTCCCTACCACAGCTACTAGAGGGGTGTACTTTCCTACGTTTGTACTACGTTACGTACTCATGTTTTTACTACGCGGTTTTCGCGTGGAGCTTTTTTCTCGGTGTTGTTTGCTGAGTGTTTATGCTGAACGGCCTAGGAGTCATGTTGTTCTTTATGTTTTATTTTATTTTTACTCCCGCTTGTTTCCGCAGGCCCGGATCGTCTTCCGTCCTCCTCTTCTCCGTCCTAATACACCCTGCCCCGCCCACCGGTAATTTTCCCCACCCCCTCCCACCATAACCCCGTCTTTTCCACCCTGCCCTGCCCACCCGGTAATTCTTCCCCACCCCTCCCACCTACCCGTCTCTTCCGCCTGCCTCGCCCACCCGGTAATCTTCCCCACCCCTCCACCAATACCCCGTCTCTTCCGCCTTGTCCCGCCATTCCCCGGTATCTTCCCTACCCCTCCCACCATACTCCGTCTTCTTCCGCCCTGCCCCGCCCACCCGGTATCCTCCCCCCCTCTCCACCATTACCCCGTCTCTTCCGCCTGCCGCCCACCCCGGTAAATCTTCCTCACCCCTCCCACATAATCAGCCTAGCAAACAACTACACCCTCAGCCTAGCAAACAACTACACCCTCACCCTAGCAAACAACTACACCCTCACCCTAGCAAACAACTACACCCTCAGCCTAGCAAACAACTACACCCTCACCCTAGCAAACAACTACACCCTCAGCCTAGCAAACAACTACACCCTCACCCTAGCAAACAACTACCCCCTCACCCTAGCAAACAACTACACCCTCAGCCTAGCAAACAACTACACCCTCACCCTAGCAAACAACTACCCCCTCACCCTAGCAAACAACTACCCCCTCAGCATAGCAAACAACTACACCCTCACCCTAGCAAACAACTACCCCCTCACCCTAGCAAACAACTACACCCTCAGCCTAGCAAACAACTACACCCTCAGCCTAGCAAACAACTACACCATCAGTCTAGAAAACAACTATAACCTCGCTATAACCGTCACTGCAGAAACAAACATCGCATTTGAGGGATTTCCAAGAAATCCTTTGGGCAGTTCGATTACTCGAAACGATATCTCTGGGAGCTGCGACCGGCTCATCTGCACCTAATCCCTCACCGAAATCGTTGTTTTTGCATCCCCTACGATTACATTCATGCAACGATGCCGGCCACGACCTGCGTTACGCTACATACGCGCGCTGGGGCTGGGTGCAAACTAATCATTTGGCTTTCGACAGGACTACATGAACTAGGAAATCGCAGCTGTGTATTTACACATGGAGAAAACATTAAGCGACTCTCTTATCCATGTTTGCATAGTTCGTTATTGCTTATTTGGAGTTCATTACAGTTAGTAATAGTACGTTAACGTTTATCGGGCTAAATATAATTGCACACGCATTTCGTAAAAAAATATTCCATGCTAGATTGAAGCAATAATGGATAGGAATTCCCACTAAGAGGAAGAATTTACAGCACCGCCAGCTTAACCTCAGAGATTATGGTTTTTACAGCAAATAACTCAGTCCTCAATCAGCACTAGCTCAGGACTGGTGCACCTACACACAGTTCTCCGGTCACCTCCTGGCCGAACAACCAACAATCCCACAAACCCAAACGAATGTCGACCCAAGAATTGAAATTCGAAATCTCACTTCAACGGTTTACGGAATACATTCTCGTAGGAACAGTAATTGGTATTCGGTACTCACTCACATACATTTCGACGTGGCCACGTGCACCACTCTTGCATCTCCTCGCCGTGACCACACAGTGGTTCGTTCTGCTGGCAGACGCTCGTACGAACGCCAGAACAAGTAAACGGAGACTCACGACTATCATACTTTTGGAACCACAGAAGGAAAAAAAACAATGTGTAAACGTCTCCTACCTACTGCAGCTGTCAGCTGCTACGGTCAGCTGCTGCTGGTTTCATCCCCACTACTGTGCTTTCCTTCCCTCCTCCTCCCAGCTCCCGTGTGCTGCTTTATCTCCTGCTTCACGAGATCGTACACACCCAGAAAGATGGCTCCCCCTATTGACATCCACATCATACGTGGCGTGAGGCCAGCAAACAGCCTGCAAGGCAACAACAACATGGGCCGACTCTAGTGTCTGCACGCTTACTTTCGCACATAGGTTTCACAGCTATTTAGAATAAAATGTTACCTGGGTAGTATTAAATCCCCACGTCATGAAAATCTAGTAATTTACTTGCCTAGAATATGTTAAATAAATAAATAATTAATAAATATATATATAAATATATATATATATATATATATTATATGTTATACGGGACTTGTGCTGCTATATCGTATTATTAGCTAGTTGGTTATTCTGTGGTAAAACATCTAAACCTGTAGAAAAGTGAAACATTTTTATTCCTATGAGTAGCTCGGATTAGCTACATCTTACACCACCACAATTTGGTGGCAAAAACAATGTTAGTTTGCAATGAAACTGGATGATGCAAAGCTTCCCGTAACATACAAGCGTTATTAAAGAGCCAATGTGTGTTTCTGATATGAGGATCAATGACTTAAGCAATGTTTATTAACATGCTATAACCGCTCTATGGTGACTGACGTACCCTTGTCCGCCGCTCTGTTTATACACATAAACCATCGCCTGGTCGATTCTAGCGGAGGCAAGAAATGTGCCTTCCTGCAAATACACAAGTTACAATGTGAGACCACAGCACCATCTACTGGCAGCCATATACATTTTTGAACATGGCTATCTGCCTTCAAGTGTTTTCTTTCTGTTCTCGCTGGCCAGCAGTGATAATGACAGAAACAGGAGTACCAGCTATAACGCACGGGAAGATAACGGTTAGGCGTGAGAGGGATAGGTGAAAATGGAAATCTGATAATTCGTACACAATGGGCAATTCTGATAAATCCACATGGAAGAAATAATTTGTAAAAATATCTTATAATTTGGTTTGTAGGCAAGCATAAAGCAGTAGCTGTAAAGGAGAGCAGCGCGTAGATAGCACCATCAGTACAGCAGCGCAGCCAGAAGCAGTAGCAGTAGATGCAGAAGCAGTAGCCAGTAGCAGCAGCACCATCAGTACAGCAGCAGCAGCAGAAGCAGTAGCAGCAGCAGCTCCACCAGCAGCACCACCACCAGCAGTAGCAGCAGCAGCAGCAGCAACATCACACCAGCAGCAGTAGCAGCAGCAGCAACACCACCACCACCACCACCACCACCACCACCACCACCAC